TTTTATTTTTTTTTTTTTTTTTTTTTTTTTTTTTATTCTTTTTTATATTTTTTTTTTTTTTTTTTTTTTTTTTTTTTTTTTTTTTTTATAAATTACTAAATTAACTAACACTAATTATTTCATCAAAATAGGTCAAGTATGACACTCATTAAAAGTAATAAGTTAATTAACAACATGTAGATTGGTTTCAGATTTAAGAAATATCAAATCATTTAAGATGTTTTTGAATGAATTTTGAACAAATCGCAGCAAAGGGGATTTTTTTTAAAAGAATTTTTTGAGAAAGCTGAGACTGTAACGAGTTAGATGATATATAACAATGTGACCATAGGTGATGTAGAACAATGTGAACATAGGTGATGTAGAACAATGTGACCACAGGTGATATAGAACAATGTGACCATAGGTGATGTAGAACAATGTGAACATAGGTGATGTAGAACAATGTGAACATAGGTGATGTAGAACAATGTGACCACAGGTGATGTAGAACAATGTGACCATAGGTGATGTAGAACAATGTGAACATAGGTGATGTAGAACAATGTGACCATAGGTGATGTAGAACAATGTGACCATAGTTGATGTAGAACAATGTAACCACAGGTGATGTAGAACAATGTGACCACAATTTAAGGGTGATACCTTAATTCAGATTATAGTGGAAGAAAAATTAATTTTCCGATATTTTTTAAAGCTGTAATATATTTCTTAAATCTTTGAAATTATCTGTGGTTATCAATATTAACATTAAATCATTCATGAGCATCAATATTTATTGTATCCTCTGTGTTTATTGTATCTATTGTATCACTCATGGTTATCAATATTTATTTAATCGCCCATGGGTATCAATATTTATTGTATCAATCAAGGGTATCAATATTCATTGTATCACTCATGGGTTTCAATAGTTAACATTAATCCTCCACAGGTAACCTAAATTAAATATTTCTCAAATGTATTTGTTCTACCATTTCCTTCTCAGATGTACTCTTTTAAAATTTATTTCGTTCTCATGGTCCTTCCTTGCTTTCAAAATAAAGTTTGTAATTATTATTTATGTGCATAAAGTTTTAGATGGCTTGTAAGATTATGTTTCCATTGTGTACATACAAAAGGAAGATAGGGAAATGTTATTTTATTTGTTTTGTAAACTTAATTTTGATGATTGCTCTGTTTTGTAGCCTTTGTGGAAACTTTAAATGAAAACTCCTGAGACAGAAGAGTTATTTTTTATTTTCTAAATTTGCATACAAAATTATGGCAAATAATATTTTGTGACGTCGTTCTCCTAACTTGAGGTCATCATTAAAAGAAGCTTTGTTCCTAAATCTAATACATCTCCCATGGCCGCCATCCATATATTACTCACTTAAAAAAAATAACCTACTTTGCAATCTGTTCCAGTTTCAAAAATAAAAACTTTTATAAAGGTGAAGAAAAGCTGTTATCACAATGAAAGTGAATTATTATGTGTGATAAGCTTGTAGAGGAGCTATCAACATGCTCTGAGGTGATCAACCAGTCACAACAAAATGTATTTTAAATGGTGAAAACAATGCGTTAAAACTCTATACACAGATATTTCTGGAACACATAGTCTACCTATTGTAACATACATTCCCCAAATCTTTTTAGTGCATAGGTAATAAATGGATGGCAGCTTAAGCTAACAGAATGCTACGGCAATGTTGCATCCTACTGGGGCTTTGTTACAGCCTACTCTGGCAATGTTGCAGAGGTTATTTTACAGCCTACCGAGGCCATGTTAGAGCCTACTGTGGCCATGTTTAATTACCTGCATATTAGAAGAGCTCATCCTTGGGAATTTTTTTTCCGCACATGTCCAATTTGAGGACCTTTGCTAACCTAACAATAATATTTTGGTTGATCACCTGCATTTAAAGTTAGCATCCATAACCAAAGGGTTCTCAAGCATTCTTACATCACAGACCTAAGATCAGTTTAAACATATTGTCTCCCATATCTATGTCATTTTATCTTTCTCCCTAAATTTCTTATTACATTCTTTTATTGTATATAAGGACACAAATTAATGCTGAGAAAAGTTTGAAGTCATATTTTAAATATTTTTTGTCTTTTAAATTGGTGTGAATGTTGGCCAGATATTTGTCCACAACTGATGCCTGTGTGATGTTAATTACCTGACTGATAAAGAAATTATACTCACTGCTCTCACATTGTCAGTGTATGAATGAATTGGAATACTGATTCCAGTTGATTGATAGTGATAGAAAACTATAAGTTACAAGCTTTCTTTTTTTTAAATCCTACTACTGATGAACATGTGGGAGTAGCAAGCTGAAGAAATGAATTATATTTGGGAGTGGAGTGTAACAATGTGTGTCAATGATTGTGTGATTGTTTGACTTGACAGAAAAATCAGTTACGAAAAAAATGTTTGGAATAATAAAAGGAGTTGTTGATTTTCATGTTAACAAAACAATCACTAAGTCCTAAATCTTTGGGTGCATTAGCTGGGGCATAGATCAAGTTACACCTTCTGGCTTTATTTATAGATCAGGCCGCAACTTCTAGTTTTGTATATAGATCAAGTCACACCTACAGCTTTATTTTAACAATGTCAATCTTCTATCAACTTCACTATTATGCCCTCAGTTCAAACATTCTCCCCTTTCCCACTTTAAACACACACATATGATCTTTTACCAAAGCTTAGTACATATTAAGATGTCAGGTGTGAAAATATGTGCTGCATTTTTCATCATCAGTGTAACACTGTGATTGATAAAACATAGAATGGAATTAAATAACTGAAATAAATCAAAAATTGAGTTATTACTTCCTGTTGTTGTTTTATTTATACCACACACACACAAAAATAAACTTTGATATTTCAACTAATGTGTGGAGGGAGAACAAAGGTTATTTGTTTTATAAGAGATTTAAATAGACATGATTCTTATCTTAATAAGTAAGATTTATTTTTATGAAAGTACACATTGATGATTTATTGTTATGAAAGTACACATTAATATGAAATAAAGCAACAAATGTTATCTAAATAACAAACATGATACACGTTACCTCTCCTTCTTTCAACATACATGACCCAAATACTTGAACTTGAAGAAATCCCAAATGTTAAAATAATATCCAAATCCTTGAATAATAGCTAAATATTTAAATGTTACACGAAACGCATTTTCCCCATAAGCTCTAGCTTTCCCAATACTACTTAACTACATACCCAGTAGTTCTACCCAATGCTCTATTACCAAGGCGAAAATAACAACTGTTATTGTTATTTTTCCAAGGCCAAATCTGTGTGACTGTGTCCAGAAGGGTGGGTATGTTAACAAAGTTTTAAAGGGGCTTAAGTGTACAAAGTTTTAGGTTGTAATTCATAAAATAACTAAAATTGAAATAAGTTTTTTTTTCTACATAAAAATATATAAAATGCTAAGTTACAAAAAAGTTATTGCAATTTAAAGGATGAAATGTTGTACTTATTAAGTTATCATAAGTTATAGTCTTATAGGGGTTTTAGCTAAGGCAGGGCTAGGAGTTTGTGATTAAAGATTGCTTTAAAAAAAAGTTGCTTTTGTTTGAACAAAGAACTGGGAGATAAGATAGCAAATCTTCCAGGCTCTCCCAAAATACTAGTTACGCTACTGCTTACGTAATAAGCCAGCGTAATATAACATCGTGTTGCCATGTAGTAACTAGTAAATATATTTTTTAAATAGTACTTTCCACGCTAAACCAACCTATATACATCACATGAACGTTGTTTTAAATAAAGAAAATATTAACTATGGCAGCTACACTTTCTTGGACAATTACATACTATTTGAGAAGCTAATTTGCAATGTAAAAAAAAAAAAAACAGGAAACAAACAAAAAATTGCTATAATAAATACTGGAAGTAGTTTAACAATAATTGTATGCCCTGGTTTTGTTCGTAGTTTGTTTGAACTCATCGCCGTAGGCGCGTCACGTGCAATGGCTCTTTATTTTGTCTGTTTCTTCTTATAAAAAAAATATATAAAAAAATCATCTGTGTCTTCAGCTGACAATGCCACAATGTATACTGGAGTTAATGTTTAGTAAATTTATTTTAAAGATCTCTTTAAACATTTTAGGTCTCAGCCGGGTGCCGACCCTGATACCCGGATTTTCCCATTATTGCACACCCGTTAATATGCCTGCCTGGCCCGGACATTGAAACGATTTCGGGTAAGGGTGTTGAAATAAAATTATATACACATTTCTTAACATAGTGTTTTTAAAAATGGTAATAAGGGGAGAGACTGCAATCAGCTAAGTGCTATTTCTTATTATTTGTATTTTTATACCGTTTTTTATGTTTTTGTGTTCGCTGACGAAGGCTTTCTGCCGACACGTTCGCTGTTTAGTTGCGTTTATTTATTTTTTCAAGTTTAACCCTACTCTGTTTCACTAATTTTATATTGTTTTTAAAAATACATTTTTAACTTTGTGAATAATTAAATAAATAATAATAGAAAACTGACTAGTGATTTGGGTGAAACTAAATTATGTAAGCTAAATGAAACTGCAAAGTTCTGACAATAATATTTTATTTGTTGCGAATTTGTTTGATTTATTTGTCTTATCAAGATGCATATTTTTTTTTTATCATGACCCTAGCTAGCACTTTCTGTTTACAATTAATATTTCATTTCACATGCTGACTGACAATGCTGAGTAGGCCTAGCCAATTTTTATAATTTTTTGGTGGGGGTGGAATGGGGAGGGGGGTAATTTCAAAGTTCTGTATAGAATTCAATTCAGTAATTTAACACGCAGTAAATAAGTGAAGGAATCGGAAAGATATGATGGCTAAGAATAAGATTTATCGCCATGATGATGATAGAAACAGTAACATATTGGTTTCGGGGACCCCCGTTATGATTTTTTAGCCTAACATGGACCTGGCAAAGGTATGTAGGCCTAATGCGG